AACAAAACTCTTAAGGCATGACATAAGTCATGATCAAAAATGAAAATGCAAGATTTAATCTCAGAACGTCGTTCCCACCTCTAGGCAAGTCATCCCTCATATCCTTACATCGTCCTCTGGAACACTCTTTGGTATTTTGATGATAACTTTGGCTAGAGAGATCTAAATCAAGTAATTTCTATGACGTTGGAATGATAATTCAAAGGGATAGAACTTTTATGTTATAAGTTCACCCAGATTAGCCCGGATCAAGGAGAAAATCAAGATACAAGTTTACAGTCTGGCAAAATCAACATCCAGAACTATCTTTCATAGTTTGGAGATAACTTTGTCTAGAAAGCTGCAAATTTTGTGATTCTTGCGGCACTGTAAAGATAACTTAAATTTATAAAAAGTTTACTTTTATCACTTTGCCTACATCATCTGGAATCGAGGATAAAATCATGACACGAGTTGATAGTTTGGCAGAATCAAGATCTAGAACATCTCTTTGGTATTTCAAGGATAACCTTTGCTATAAATATCATAATTACATGATTATTGTAGCGTCAAAAAGATAATTCAAAGGACTAAAACTTTAATGTTGATCACATTTGCCAAATCACGGAGGAACTCCCATTCCAAGAGAATGAATGACCATTTTTTTATCCTCAAGATGTTCCCCATTCCATAAAGTTGTTCACGGTTCTACCAAATTTTGGAAAATTTGAGATTCATAGTGGAAGGGTCGTTCATCAAGTCCCCAAGTCGTTCCATGCATGAAGAACACTGTTCTAGCAAGCTGTTCATCATTTTGGAAAATCTAGATAGGTTGCAAAGATTGGGCTATAACTTTCTCTAGAGAACTCCAAATTCAACTCTGTAAAATTTGTGAGAAACTGACTAAAATATATTTTCAATGATATATGGCTTGCACTATCAAAAGTAATGAACGCATATTACTAACAAAAGAATGGTTGTTAGCATGCCAAGATTTTAAATTTTATGATCGTTGGAGTCAAGAACGACTATTTGCGATATTGGAACGCCCGTTCCTCCAACTTTTGTAAGTTGCAACTTTTCCCTAACGGATATAAACGAGTATCTTTTCATATCAGAGTATAATATCTCACTTTAAAGAAGAAAGAACTGGAGAAGAAGTGTAGCAAACAAGTCCTACATTTTTGCAACAACAAAATACTCTTTGAGCTATAATTCTACATCTTCTCACCACTCTCCAAGATCCTTATTCAATATCCTTAGAGAGAAATTTGCGTAATATTTGTGTATCAGCCTAGAGTGGAGGCAAAAGCCCACACAAACATTTTGAATTCATTTTATCTTAAGTGAAATCCTCTCAAACCATTGTAACTTGATGTAATTCAATTCTAGTGGAACCTTGAAGAGGTTGTCTTGAGGAAGATTACTCACAATTCTCACAGGAAGATGAAATTGATGATATGATTGCCCTTGCTGAGGTACCACAGATCATGATGATGTGCCTACCGTGACTCCTTCTGGAACTAAATCCCAAGCTGAGGTGACCACACTAGAACCTTATGTGAGCACCATTGTTGCTCAACAAGGATCAGTCTCCCTAAGAAGAGGACTTGAATTAATTGTTGATCTTTCTGATGAGATCACTCAAAGAAACACATCCACAGGGAAAGAACCACCCTCATGGATCAAGAAAGGTCATCCACCTTCAAATGTGATTGGAAATCTAGATGAGGTAATGATTACAAGAGGAAAAATGATGAATTAAATTAACAACCGGTGTTATGTTCAACACTCTAGGACTAAGCACATTGATAGTAGGCATTACTCCCTAAGAGATATAGTTGAAGAGAAAATTATTTTGCTTGCACATGTAAACATAAACTCTCAATTGGCCGACTTGTTTACAAAGGCTTTAGATTTTCAAACATTTGTGAACTTGAGGAAGTCCATTGGATTGATTCAACTTGAGTAAAGTCTTTGTTTTGTTCAATAAATTTATTAGAAAATTTTCTTTGTTTTAAAGTTGCAAGTGTACTGATCTGTGTCATGACATAAAAAATACTCTTCTCTCTTGATAAATGTATGTTGTGAGTGATGTGTCCACACTGTTTTTCACCTCTTGAAGTATAATGACTTTCTTTCATCATTGAGTGCATATTGCTTATTTCTTGTCACCTTATGAAAGAGTTATCTCACTTGTAGTCTGAAAGTCATATTTGGGTTATTTTAGGATGTAATGACCCCTACACTACAAGAAAAAAAGGCCTTTCTTGACAGGTATTACTTGTCAAGAAAGGGGTACAATGACCGTTTTTGAACTGTTATTGTAGCCCCTGTCAAGAAAAGGTCATGACAGTTTTTGAACTGTCAAAGACCTCTTGATATATCCTTGATAGTTTGATATCTGTCAAGGATTTAGTAGAATTTTAACCACATCCTTGACAGTTAGCTAAATCCTTGGCAGTTATCGAACTGTCAAGGATTTAGTCGAATTTTCAAATTTTTTTTTTTTTTTGAGTTTTAGCCAAATTGTTGACAATTTTCACATTGTCAAGATTTTGTTTGTTATTTTTTTTTTTAAATTAGTAAAAGTTCTTTATTATTACGAATTAAATTATAGAATAGTCGAATGAAATGCTTCATAATATTTATCTTTCCAACAATTATCACCATTCAACAATATGCAATGAGACATCGAATAATTGATCGAATGGTACATATATTACTGTTGCTCTGGGTAAACAAAATTGAACAACAGTAACTATTTTACAATATTGCCTAAACAAATGAAAAGTTTGATACATAGTTTTTGCCCTCATTGTCGTTTGACATCGTTGAAACAACAATAACTAAAAAAAGTTTGATACGTACATTGCCCATTCTGTTCTGACTTCATCGACCTCCGCATATTCGTATATTTCTTTCCCCAAGAATTGTAAAAGTAAACACAATAAGACTAGTCAATAAATATCAACTATATCTTATTATTCAAAAAGAAAAAAAAAAAAAGAAAAAAAAGACTTACATTGTTTTTCAATAATGCCAACCCATTCTCAACTATATCTCTCATGTATCTCATTATATAAAACCCACATTCAATGCTTCCCGGGGTCCTTACACAAAATTTATTCGGAAGTAAGCATTAATTTTCAAAAGGTAAAACAATATTATAACTAAAAATTAACTGCTATTGATAATAACAATTCTATACACCAATACTTTTTGACACGAGATATTAGCCCTTTTTTTGGACGCCTTTCGGGTAGATTAAGATACCACTGTGAAAGTTAAAACAACTTATGAAATTAACACATTGAATTTGATATTATAAAGAGCATTAAAAATGACATAAGCAGAATTACTAACTTTTGCACTATTTCGTATAAATCCTGCCTAATATCTCCGCTTAAGGAATCAAAATAGTACACAATTAAAGTCTTCATGCCAATAGTAACAAAAACCCAATGAAATCTATGAACAAAATTGCATAAGTACCCAATGTTAGAGTAAGTGCCCTAGAGCTAATCAATTATTGTAGAATTAACTCTCTGAAATAATGTTTATTAATCAATAAAAGACAATTTTCTTCTGTATCATATAAATCATAATTGCTTGTATTGATATATGTCCTTAGGATGGTAGAACCGTGACGAGAGTATCAAGTGTTTCAAATCTTGATAATGAGAACCCTATGATCACATATAGTGGCCATTCTAAAAATATTCGTAGCCCTAGTATTATTTTAACCAAGGACACAGATAATATAATAAGGCTATTATAGTGTTGAACGACCTTATCGAAAAACATTGACTGATCTCACTTGTTAAGGTTGTTTGTCGACAACCTGGTGCGACACATGGGTGTTTGCTGTAGGCAAGTTCACTGGACAGACCCACCAGAGGATTCCATATAGATAGTAACCCTAGTGTCTATGGAATAAACCCTCTAACGACTATTGGTGCATGTGATTCTTAGACTTGAGATCACCAGAGCGCCTTGTGCGTCGATTGGTGTAGTTTGACACTAGCCTAACGTAGTTCTATTCAGAGCTATCAAGGTAGTGATTTGCTGCATTGAGAAGTGTATCAAGACTATGGTGGATCAACAAAGGATCATCATTCCCGGGTATGAGAGAAGTTATCTCACGACGCAATTTAGTAAATGGCAGTGACACTAAAGTTGTGGCTGCAGTGGGATTGAGTTGTTGCTCAATCCAATTTATTATTTCGATCATTAGTTCAGTAATTGAATACAAAGATATAAAAGATAAATGAGGTAGACACTATTTCTATACCTCAGCCTCGATGAGATAATAGATCATGAAAGGATCAAATTACACGGTAACCATATCGTTGATAGACAAACTGTTTCGCTGAATCCGAATCTATCAAGTGCCCATGATGCCTTGCTAGAAGCCAATCTTGGTCTGTGTTTAGTGAGACGATTGAATTGTGTCAATCGCAAGACTAGTCACTGTTGATATGATGAGAAGCGTTTGGGTCACACACATAAAAGACAGATTAAAGATGAATTGATGAGAAAGGGTATTTTCGTCATTTGTGATGAAATGGTATTTTCATCATTTATGATGAAAATGATATTTTTGTCTTTTGAGATGAAAAGACATTTTGGTAATCTCACAATATAATTAAATTTGTTGAAGTCGTTGCAAATTAGTGAGATTATGTATTTAAATATATTCATATATTTAAATATTATATATATTATTTAACATTAATATTTGATGATATTAATATTAGTGAAGATAATATATATGAAATATGAAACTCATATTTGAATTTGAATAAGATGTCATGTGTAGTTTATTACCTTGTTTGGTAACGAGGATTTACTATTCTAGTTATAGAATAAATATATTCCTAACTAAATTAGGGTTTTAATTTTTGTTATATATAAAAGGCGATTTAAAATTAAAGTACAATACGAGAACACATTAATTAAATCCAAGCCACTCACCTCACTCGCTCACGTTTTTCACTTGGTGGAAAAGAGAATTTTTCTTGAAGAAAAATTCTACATCCTTTTTGCTTGTGTGTCTTGCTAGCACTTGAGACCGCAAGTCGATCGCCCTCTTGTCTTTGTATGGATACTAACAGTTCACTCTTATCTTAGAGTGGGAACAATTCGTATTGATTGAAGGAGCCTCCAAACGCTGGTATGAAATCTAGAAATTTTATATTCAATATCATTTCATACGTAAATAACGTAAATCAGGTATAAGGTTCTTGGGTTCAATGTTGTTGTTGGGAATTTTATTTTTGTTTTCCGTTGCATAAACCCCATCAACGACTAACACCCAACACAACAACCACAAAGAAGCAATAGAATAATTACCCAACAAGAGTTCATCAGCCCAAAACAAAAACGAAATAAGATTTCAGCATGATGACAACATATTATATTTAGATTCACACTAGAGTATACAATCAACACAAACAAATCCATGCCACAAATCAGAAACTCCCTCACAATTTCACACAAACCTAGCAACACCATAGCAACAATGCAGAAAAGGAAAGCAACGTAATAACTGGAAACAGATCTGTGTTGTATTAAGTCAATAGAAATGAAAATTCATAAGAAAAATTATCAACAACAAAAGGAAAGTAACAGACTATAGTCCCAGCAATTCCTTCCACTAACCACTTGATTTTTCACACGCAAATAACACCTAACCACCCTCCACTAACACACATGCACTCTCACACCTTTTTAACCCTTATGCCCTTTATATTGATACACCTTCTTAATGGGAGGTCTATCAATAACCTTAGGGGTCTATCATAACCAAATAACAAAAATGTAAACTCTCTAGATTGCAAATAAACAATTAGGACAAACATTGTTTTTAAATCTTAAAAACAGATTATTCAAACAAGATTAAAAGTAAGGAAATCAATGAATTACAAACCCTGAGTTGTATGGCACTTTATTTAAATTCTTGTTCTTCACACTTGCCAACCAATTGGCAAACAACTGTGCCCTTTGGGTTCTTGTTCCTGTGGCATTAGTGCTGCCTGCTATTGACAATGAGTTGGGGCTCATGAAACCAGTTTCTTTTACATTGCCCCATTACCCTTCAGCTTCTCATATAAAGCCTTGCCCCAATTTAAAAAATACCAAAATTACAACAATATGCAGTATAAAATCCAATGAAGATTAAATCATAATCACTACTATAAGCGAACAACTTACATTATATAAACTGTGCCCAAAGTTGAGCTCAAATCGATTCAAATACTTCACCAACCTAACATGAATGGACCTTGAGCTTTCTTTTTCAATCTCAATCAAACTTGAGCCAAGTTTAAAGCTAAGCAATAAGTTTGAGCCAACCTCAAATGTGCCCAAGTATTTGACTTAGCTTAACTTGTTGGCACTGAAATTCTCAGCACCCTTAAAGAAAAATCATATGTCTTGACAAGAAAAAATTGACTTTGTTAGTCCAATCTAAGCCTTTAGATAATGGGATGCCATTGAAGGTTAATGTATTAGCGTAAAGGCACAGTGGAATGCTCTTCAACAAAGAAACCTGATTCATAAAGTTTAATAAAATAGTTAGACAGATAACTTTAATAATGACTAAATATGGTGAATGAAAAAAGGGTGCTGGAGATATGACAAAGCAACATCATCTTCTGGTCTAGAAGCATCCTTCTTTGTCCTATAACTAGTGTCACCTTGGTTATGTAGAATGTGACAACAAAGTCTACCAGCAACTCCTGGTGTTAGTTTAATTATAGTGTTTCTTAAAAAGCGTCCTGCTTCACCATTATACATCTGATTCATGAAAGGGGACTGTTAAATGAGGAAACGATAAATTGTAAACAGTTTAATGGTTACTAGGAGGTACAATATTCTATGTATTTGTTTAATTTTAAAGATCATGTTACCGTTAGACCTCTCTGTTAGTTAGGTGTTCCTAGCTTCTGTTTCTATAACATCATTCATTTTACCTTTTTCTTATTCCTTTTTGTAACACATGCTTTGCAAATAGGTGTTTTTTCTGACATCGTCGTTCTACTATATAAACCAAAATGTCAAAGTTACTTTAATCGTTAAATGTGGAAACTTACCCCACCAGCATAGGCTACTATCTTAGGTAATTTTGCAAGGTTATCGGTGCCTTCTGCATAAACACCGGGGTTGATCAAAACCATCTTTTTAACCTGTATTAGGAAATAAATTTTTAGAATAAACATTATTGACCAAGTACTCTGTACTTGAGGGTAAAAAGCTGGAAGCAAAAGTGAGTACATAAGTTGGAATTAGAGCAGCAATTTTGACACATCAGAATGTCTAAAGTCAAAATCTTTTTATGTACATAGGCATGAAAATGAATTGAAAAGATGAAACGCTTACAGCTTCAGGATAGTTCACTGCAAAGTCAATTGCTAGAGCAGCACCAAGAGCGGGTCCAACTAGTACAATTGACTTTTTAATGTAGGACTTCCAAAGCTAAAATTTCATAAAGGAAAATTCAGTCTCCAGTATTAACATAAGAAATCAAACCGCCCCCATTAATCATGAAAAGTTTAGTGTGGCTTATTACATTGGCTAGTTGTTTTTGGCAAACTTAAAGCTTGGATAAAGAATCAATCAAGATACCTGATAGAGGTGATAGCGCTTTGAAGCGGCATTGCATGGTGGAAGCCTGTATTGTTGGGGGAAGAAAGGGAAAAAAATTAAGCACAAAGAAAAAAAAAATTAGCATCATTTCATACTTCTGACGTAGACCTAAGAGATATTAACATGGTTGAATCCAGAAATTAGTCTAGACAGGTTGATATAATGTAAGTTGTTTGCGGTGACGGAGGTGGTGAAGTGACGACTTCACTATTTATTGCTACTACCGGGAATTGAAGAAACAAGTGATGGGAGAGATTTGGGAGATTTAGTGGAAGAGACTTGGGCGATTTAGTAGAGGAGATTCAGGGTTTATGGGATCTGATTAATTTAGTGGAGGAGATTTGGGTTTTTGGCAGAAGTTTTTTTCTTGCCCTAGGTTTGACTTGGTCGAAATTTGGGGGAAAAGGGGTTTTGACAACGAACTTCGGTGTTTTGGGTGGAAAGAATTTGCCTTAGGAAAATTTTAGGCTGGGAAGCCTCAGCAGAATTTGAGTTTTTGCTTTTTTTTTTTTTTTTTTTTTTAACTTATTCCTTGACAGTTAAACACTGTCGAGGATTAAGAATATAACAATCAAAGAATGAATTTCATTTTTCCAAAATCCTTGATAGTTAAAAATTATCAAGGATTAAGACTATGACAGTTAAGAAATGAAATTGAACAACTTAATTTTTAGTAAAATTGTCTCTAAGACAAGAAGTTGTCAAGGAAAAGACTTCTTGACTATTTTTAAAAACATTCAAGAAATTCTGTGAAATTTTCTTTCAAGAGAAGCCTTTTTCTTTGTCGTGCTATGTCTTTGGAAAATCTACCATTTAGAGGGCTATCTCTTTGCAAGTGTGAAAGCTACAATTGGCTACTTCTTGAGAATATTTGCCCATTAAATCTCATATGCTATGAAAAAGAATTATAAAATTTTGAGATTATGTTCAATAAAATTAAAAGAAAGAAAAGTGAAAAAGGGCACGAGGGAAGGGGGAGTTTTCTCTTTGATTGCTTGACCAATGTGTCATAAATTCCCCTTTGAGGACACAACACACACATCTCATAAAGATTCTTTGCTTTTTACTCATGTATGATCTAAGGTTATAAATATTTAATTGTTGAATTACACGGGATGAGATTCTCTTTGTGTATTTTGTGAATCTTTGATGTCTTTTGGCCTTATTTTTGTTTTTTTGTTCAAAATGGAATAAGTGATTAAAATTTGCAGTTTTTGTGCCAATGTCGCCACTTTGAGAGAATGTGTAGCCACATAAGTTCTCTTAAGTTCATTCTCTATGAATTCTCTCTTGCATGTGCTGACTTGATTCTTCATTGTCACGACACTTTACCTGTTGTCCAATATGCTTACATAATTGTATGAATGACATCAGATGAATGTTGTTCATTTTGATTCATAATTATCTCTTGTCATGTGTCATCGCACCTAAATTGAATGTCGTCATTTTGATTTTGTTTTGCTGGTGTGCTCACATTGAGTTCGTGTGTGCCGACATTGATTTTAAGTGTCCATACACTGTTAAAACTCCTAATGTTTCTAAGCTCATCTTTGAAAGAAAAGCATCAAGCATTGTTTGCAAAGAAAAGGGTCAGACATTACCAAGATTCTTCTGAAGCTTAAATCGAGTCTTTATCTTTGTCAACCGATCATGAAGAATCATTGTTTGACTCTCAAAATGTGACATCTTCGTTGCCTAAAGAGTCTCTATTAAAGAAGCTCATGTCTTCCAAGTCTCCAAATCAAAGTCCAAAGCTTCTAAATTAAAGTCACCCGAAGGAAAGAAGAATTCAAAAGCGAGTGAAAAGTCTTCAGTTGGTAAAAAACATCTAACCTTTGTCTCCTCTAAAGCTTTTTCTCACTTTAAGAAATATGTTTCTTAGAGCCCTATCATCTATGAAATTCATTTGAAATTGGATGATTTTTTTTAAAGTTTTGTCCATATTGTTGAATAGAACTTGGGTTCTTTTTTATGCTAATGTTGTTAGGAATGTGCTTGAGTTACCTCTTGTAGAAAATCCAAACAGTTTACGGTTTTAAATCTAGATATCATGGTGTTTACACTGACTGGAGGTCCAGTGGACACTAAAGGGTTCGTCAAACATTATGAACAAAGAGGGGGAGTGAAATTGCTGAAGGATTTGCTGAGAGTTGCTTTGCTCTGTTTTGCTTGGATGTTGGTGATATTGCTTTAAGGAGTTGATGGTGTGATGACATGAGCTGTTGATGTGATCACACTGATTTTTTTTTATTTTTTTATTTCTATTGTTGATTTTTTTCTGCCTAAGCTGAACTGATTTTCTCTTTTGTTTGTCTACTTGAACTATGATCTAATCAGTCTTTGTTTCTTGTGTTTTAATATGTTTATGAACTTATTTTTTATTATAAGTTCTGAATTCTGATGAAGCTTATTCTTGTGTCTATTGGTGTAGAGATCCATGCAGCAAATATTTTTATTGTTTGTTTTGCATTTTTTTATTTTTGTTTGGCTCTAATATTGGGAACTGAACTAACCCTTGTATACTCCTAATTGTTTATCTCTTGTATGTGAGTTGGTGCATTTACTTTGGGGGAGTATTTTGAGGGGAGTTATTCAATTTTGACCTTGTATGACTTAGTGCAAATTGTGTGTTGGTGAAAATATTAAGTTTTTGCTTAAGTCATTGTGGTTTGTGCACTGAATTTCTTGTTAAGTTGCTATTTTATTAGAACTACATTTTTGTTTAAGTTGTTACTTGCTGATGTTGTTCTTTCATGTGCAGAGAACAAATTATGTTATTTGTTTGTTTTTGAACTATACCAACCCTCTTTTTGCTCTAAATTGATAATCACTTGAATGTGACTTGGTTTAGTTACTCATGAGGAGTATACTAATTGAGGGGGAGCAATTTAGTTCATTTTTCTTTTTTTTTAATCTTGCAAAACTTTTTTATTGAATTGATACTGATTATGTTTTGCTTATTGTCTTTGTTTCATTCATGTCTCTATGTCTTGATGATTATGCCTTTAATGAGATATGTTTTTGTGTTGTTTGTGTTTCTATCTCTTGTTGATTGATTGTTGGTATTTTGAGACAAGTTTGTAATTGAAAAAATTGTGCTTTGTTCATAAGTTTGACAAAGGGGGAGATTGTAAGTTATTTGTCAACTTATGATTCTAGTGTGGTAACATTAGTCATGGTATGAACACTTCACTTTGAATATCGCACAATTATTTCTGTTTAAATTTTCAGTGTGATGACTCTCTGTCGAAGTGAACACTTTCAATTAAGTCAGTTTTCTGTTACATCGTGTGGAAACTTCAGAGTCTGAGTGGTCACACGCATCTGGCAGATACTTTGCATAACATGTATTGCATTTTGATATTCCGTGAATTGTTTTTATTCTCTTTTGAGATATTGTTTATGGTCCATGACACTTGTCATTTACTCATACAATGTGCCGGAAAGTTTTTTGCAATTGTCGGTGGTCCTAGTAAAGATTGGAATAAACTTTTTCATAAAGGTAAAACCATAGAGCATCCTGTTGGCCACCTTTCCCCTTGCATTGGAGCCCAAGTTTTGTATATATTCGTCTTCTCCAATGCAACTCTTTTTAAGCTTGAATATATTTCTGATATTACTTTAAAAATTCCTTGAGGTTTCTTTGTTTTGAATTAGGTTTCATATGCCTTAGGTAGGCTTACAAACAGTAGCGGATCCAGAAATTTCTTTTAGGGTGGGCCAAAATAAAAATTTATTATACATTACTATTTTTGTCCATTAATATTTTTTTTAGGGTGGGCAAAAATATATAAATTTACATATTAATGTTAAAAAAAAAATTTTGAGGGTGGGCCAAAAAGTGGCTGGATCCGCCACTGCTTACAAATACCTTGGATAAACTTTGTTCATTTATTCATGGCTGGAATGTGGGTTTCCATTGGTGATACTTGATGGGATTTCAAGCTTTTGGAGCTGAAGTGCGTCTTCGGTGTTGTACCTTCAGAGGAGCTCAAGGCTAACCAGGTGGTCTTGTGAACATGGAACTTGCTATGGTAGTTTGAAGTTCGACCAAAGGGTGGAGTTTGAAGTGTTGCAAAACGGGGAGTGTTCTTGCAACTGATGCTTAACTTTGACTTTGTAATTGAACTGTAAATGTTTACCATAGTGGATTGACTTCATCTAGACTTGGTCCCATGGATGTAGGCATTTTGCTAAACCATGTAAAATACTCTGGTGTGCTTTATTTTGGTTCATGAATGTCTAGTTTGTAATGGTGATGAATGGACACTAACATCAACTTAACAACCCATTCCGCTTAGGTTTAATCTACTTGGTAAAGTATTAAAACTTCCAAAAACCTAAACCAACAGTATTCAATACTGTAACAAAACTAATAAAAGCAAGCAACTCATCAATTTTGTGTAATTTTACAGATAGTCATGGCACGAATTCAAATATCGAAATATAAAGCATTAAACCGTGTAAGTTGGCTTCATTACCTTCAACATAAATGTACGTTTCTCTTTTGATATGTGTTGAGGATTTTGGCTCGTTTCCCTCTTTTTATTTTTTGTAACATTTGAGTTTATGTTTCTTTTAGGATAACTTGTCAGAATATGATTACAATTATGCAAGAAACAAGAATATAATTCCTACAAGGATTAGAAAGATATTTCCGATCAGGAGTTGTTAGCTCATTGGAGAGAGAATTATATGACGGCGTCACAAAATTTATCAACAATTTCGGGCTTTGGTAGGTATCATATGATTTGACCTTGTCTTTAGAAACTTCTAATAGGTATTAAGATACCGTTCCTTTGGGATCATATTATGTGTTATACTCTTGTATTTTTGTGGTAATAGTATATTCTTCAGTCATCTATGGATGTAGGCTTTAAAATGAACAAATTGATATTTGATATATACACTTCCGCAAAATTCACAACAATATAGAGATACTATCTTTTAATTTTTTGTATGCTATTTGAAAGTGTTTGAGAATATTATTTTAAAATGGTCAGCTACCTCTATGTACTCTCCTTTTGTATGCATTTCATTCATGCTCAAATAGCTCAGGCTTAATATATGTATGTAGAACCAAGAAACCAGAGTTCAAGTAGATGCAGGAAATTTTTATGAAGCAACCTCAGATAAATTAAGCTTTTATTTATTATCTCGTATGCAAATTCTCACATTTTTATTTACTACAAAGTATAGTGAGAAGCTACGAGTAGAACATGAGACGCATGCCAACTAAATTATTTAGTATCTAGAAACTTTTAGTTTTGCATATGTCTCGCTGTTGATCATCCTCATTCTTAGTTCTTGCGCACTGGGCGAATGACGATCTTATCCACAACCAGCCCACTCTTTCATTGGGATTCGTGTTCAAACATCGAGATTTCCATATCCCCAGTCATATTGCAAGATGTAAGGAACTCACCAATTCGGACCTCTGACCATTTG